CCCCCAGGGGGGATGGCCACGCCGCAAGCCCTTCTCCTCCATTCTTCTCTCGGGATCTTGGGCACGCACGCGTGAGTTTAAGCCACCAAGTCTGGAACTCGAACTGCGGTTGACTACATGGGAGTTCAGCGACATAGCCATTACGCTAACTGCTGGTCCCCCTAAAACAAATTTTTAAAAAAGATAAAACATAAATAAATAAAAAAGTGAAGTATGAGATTCTGTTTTTTTTTTTTTTAAAGAGAGATTTTTGCTATAAGGCATGTGCGCTTGCTGGAGAGACAGATACAGTGAAATATAAAGTGAGAAATCACCCCCAGAAAGGATGGTCATGCTGCAATCCCTTCTCCTATGGTCTCCTCTTAGAATTTTGGGCACACATGGACATGTATCTGGTGTGAGTTTTAAGCCACCAGGTCTGGGACTTGATCCGCAGTTGACTAAGTGGGAGTCCAGCAATGTAATCATTATACCATCTCCTGGTTTCAAGTGTGAGATTCTTAATGAAGTTTACAGAAAGGACTATAACCTTATTTTCCCCCTAAATCCAGGCAAACAAATTTTCCATCCTCTCCCCAAAATATGTGGTTTATTTGGATACTATTGAAAGGAAAAAGAAGGCAAGTTAGAGAAAGAATTCTTTTATATTGATATCTGCTTTAATTCTTTAAATTAGAATCTGTCAAATAATCACTCTGCTGCTATTGTCACATTTTTAAATACAGGATTTCAGCCTATCCTTCCCTTAAAATGAGCCCTTCGTTATGCTAAGAGTGTCTCAAGCTTAGGTGACCATACAATTTTGTTTGTTATGTGTTTTATTTGACCTTTGCCTTCATTCGAGCCTCTGCATATGAAAAATATCCATTTGGCATCCCCTTCATTGAGTTTGTGTTTTTCTTTATAGTATACTGTTCTACTGTTAAATATGACAAATGTGCAAAGAGTTGTTCTACCTTCCCCTTTCTCTGTCTCAAAATGTTTGAAGAGAAGGCTTAAGGTATTTTTTTTTTGTATAAATTTATGACTAAAAATTGTTATGGAATGTGGTCACAATAGGCTGAACCTAGAAAAAAACTTGTTTGAATTATTAATATTTTAAAGAAATTGTCTATTTAATTTTTATTCATTCATTCATTTAATTTTTAATTTGATAAGAGAGAGACAGAGAGAGAAAAGGAGGGAAAGTGAGAAAACAAACAACCTGGTCCGGGACTCAAACTGTGGTTGGCCACGTGGGACTATCTAGTGCCTTAACCACCACACCACCTGCTGACTCTGTCTGAGTTATTTTTTGGTCAAAGATGTCAGCACAGAAGAGAACTCTAACTCATCCATAGAGAGAAGAGCAAGGTTCTTATTTTTAATTCTTTTGGCCATTTCTCTTCTCTTGCTTTACTTTTTTCTTTTTTTAAAACTTTTAAATTTTTTCTTTCTGTATTTATGCAAAGTTAAGTTTCTCACTTTTTTCTATTTATTTCACGATCTTATTAAAAAAATTGTATTTTACTTCTTTCTGTCTCTACATTATAAGAAGAGAGCATAAACTATTTAAAGCTTGATTCAGTCAGCTTGCATCTTTTCTATCATGATTTGCAAACTTCTGTTTTTTCTTGTTTGAGCACCGAATGTGTTCTTATGGAAAATGCAAAAATTCAGAGGTTTCCTAGTGATAAAAGCAGGAAATACCTGCACTATGACAGTAAAGCAAACTGTCTATGTGAACTCTAGGGGGCAATGCAGTGTGAGGCTTGTTCCTTTACAAGAGCAGACGTCCTCCTCACAGGATTAGAGAATCTGGATCAAGAGTTTGTTCAGCAGAGAACATACACATATCAGAAGCACTAGGTTCACTGAGGAAAAGCCTTTTCTAAAAGCCCTGTGCTGACACAGGGGTGCTGGTTCCTCTCTAAGAGTCTAGCATCTGGGGTGGAGGCATTCTCTAACTGCAGTGAGCTGGAAAGACGCTCCCAATCAAGCTCATCCATGGCCTCTCGATGCATCTGGATGCTTGTGATTTCCTTCACATTGCGTGAGTAATATTTTTGATCAACTTTTTGATCAATTTTTATTCTCTTCAGAAGTGTCACTGATGCATTCTGGCTTCACTTACAGGTGGACTGAGAGCTCAGTCTGTGAATCAGCCAGAAGATCAGGTGAATGTTGCAGAAGGGGATCCTCTAACTTTGAGATGTACTTATTCAGTTTCTTGGAATCCTTCTCTCTTTTGGTATGTCCAATATCCCAACCAAGGCCTCCAGTTTCTTCTAAAATATGTCACAGGGGACAGCCTGGTGAAAGGCAGCTACGGTTTTGAGGCTGAATTTAATAAGAGCCAAACTTCTTTCCACCTGAAGAAACCATCTGCCCTTTGGAGTGACTCTGCTCTGTACTTCTGTGCTGTGAGTGACACAGTAATGGAGGCTGCAGGGGAAGCTGAACACAAACCCTGAGGGTAGTCAAACCTCCACAAGAGGGTGGTGTGGTCTCAGGATATGTCATTCAATATAATAAAATTGATAAATCAAAACAACAGAATCTGCTCATTCAGTAAGTCCTCATGTGCCAGATACTGTGCACATAACCACTTGTTTGAAGAGGTGACTTTGGCTGACTCTGTGGTCTGATGGTTATGGGAGTTGGATCTCACATGGCCAACCCATTGGTGAGTTCCATACCTGGTGGCATGAGAAACATGCTCGATGTGAGTGCATACGCACTCCAAATTCCAACAGGTTGGATTAATGGAGAAGGGATTGCGGTGTTCCCATTCCCTAGGAGGGTGCTTTCTCCCTCTTCCTCTTTCTGTCTCTCTGATGAGTGCACATACCCTTTGGCAGGAAGAAAAAAGTGACTACTGTAAGACTAGTAGAAGAAAGCTTAGAGAAAAGCTTCATTTTTCTAATTCCAAGTAAACAGCTTTTCTATCCTCTTCCTAAAATATGTAGTTTATTTGGAGGGAAAAGAAGGCAAGTAAGAGAAAGAACTTTTTTGTGTTGATACAATGATGAAATTGGTCTGGCCAATGAATTTTTGGATATGTCCCCAAAAGCAGAGGTAGTAAAAGGAAAAACAGACACATGAGATTACATCAAAGTAAAAAGTTTCTGCACATCAAGGAAATAATCAACATAGTGAAGAGACAGTCTACAGAAATGAGAGATAATATTTGGAAACCATACATATGATAAGGGTTAATAATCATCATAGATTGAGGAACTCAAACAACTAAAGACTGACCTGGTGGCACCGTGGTTAAGTGCTATGAATTTGGACTTGGATCCCACATGGCTGAATATGATTCAAATGCCAGCCCTGGTGGCTTGAGAAACATGAGGCACATGTGCATGCATGCTCCAAATCCTGATGGGATGGAGGAATGGAGAGAAAAGATTTGGAGTGACCACATCCCATGTGGTACTTTCTCTTTCTCCCCCGCAACTCTCTCTCTTTTTTCTGACCAGTACACATGCCTTCTGGAAAATTAAACAACAACAACAAAATAGTCTATTAAGTGCCAACCACCCCCGCCCCCCCAAAAAAAAAACAACCCAAAAGCACCAAAACTCAAACCAATAAAAACCTGGTTTAAAAATAGGCATAAGACCTTAAGAACATTTTGTGAAAGAAGACATATAAATGGTTAATAGGCATGTAAAAAAACCCTCAACATCAATAGCCATCAAGGACATGCAAATTAAAACCACTAGGAGATATCACTTCATCTATTAGGATGGCTATTACCAAAAAGGCCATTAACAAATGATGATGAGCACCTGAAGAAGAGGCAATCCTCATACATCATTGATGGGAATATACATTAGATCCACAGAGGAGAATGCTATGGAGATTTCTCAAAAAATTAAAAGTACTTTGAGGTGATAAGTATGTCAATTACCTGATTTGATCATTATACATTGTATATTGATCAAAAAATATTCATGTATCAAAAAAACCACACCGTGTCCCATAAATACATACACTTATCATGTGTCACTTTAATAATGGTAGAGTAAAAATTAAAAACAGAGCTATCATATCAAGCAATCTCACTTTGGGGTATATATAAGGGAAATTAAATTAGTATGTTTTGGCTGGCAGTTTGCTGGCAGTTGGTCACAAGGCTGACCATGGCTCAAGTCCTGGAACTGGCAGTTTGCTTTCTCACTTCTGGTCTCTCTCTCTCCTCTGGGCACACATGCCCCATAGCAATTAAAAATATAATAGTAATAATAAATACAATTAAAGAAATAAATAATTAAAAACATTTAAAATGTGAACTATCCTTAGAAAAACTTTCAGAAAGAACTATCTTCTACTTCATTTTTCTAATTCCAAGCAAACAGCTTTTCTATCCTCTTCCTAAAATATGCAGTTTATTTGGAGGGAAAAAAAGGTAAGTTAGAGAAAGAACTTTTTTATGTTGATACAAGCATTCTTTTTAAAATTAGAATCTATCAAAAAATCACTCTGCTACTATTGTGACTTTTTAAAGATTTACTTATTTAATTTTACTATTATAAATATTATTTTTAAATTTGATATAGGGTATATGCACTCACTAGAGAGAGAGAGAGGGAGAGAGAGGGAAACTGAGAAAACAAGCTGCCAGATCTGGGACTTGAACCACGGTCAGCCATGTGTGAGTCCAGTGCCTCAACCACCATGCCACCTGCTGGCCCCATACAGCGACATTTGTTAAGTATGAAATTTCAGCCCATTCTCAACTTGAAATGAGCCTGCCAGTATGCTAATAGTCTCTCCAGCTTAGTTAACCATACAATTCGGTTTGATGTGTACTTTATTTGACCTTTGTCTTCATTTGAGCCTCTGCATATGGAAAATAGTCATTTTGCATCCCTTCATTGAGTATTGTTTTTTCTTTTTAGAGAGTTTTTTTTGCTATTAGGCGAGTGTGATGGCCAGAGAGACAAAGAGAGACAAAAAGACTGAAAGCAAGAAATCATCCCCTAAGGAGGATGGCCAGGTTGCAATCTCTTCTCCTCCATTCTCCTCTCAGGATACAGGGAATGCACACATATGCGCCTGTCATGAGTTTTAAGCCATTGGATCCAGGACTAGCACTGCGGTCAACACCACTTGCTGGTCCCTGTTTTTTCTTTATAGTGTACCATATAATAAGGCAAATGTGCTAGGAGGTGTTTATGATATTGTACTTCCCCTTTCTCTTTCTAAAAGTGCATAAAGAGAAGATTTAAGGTGTTTTATGTATACATTTATAACTAAAGATTGTTATGGGCTGGGGTCCCAATAGACTGAACCTAGATAAAAATGTGTGTGGATTATTATTATAATAATATTATCATTATTAATAGTTATTGTTATATGTTTGCAAATCATGGTAGAAAAAGATCTATGCTGAGTCAAGCTTTAAATGGTTTATGCTCTCTTATGATAATGTAAAGTCAGAAAGAGGTAAAATATACTTTTTTAATAAGATGAGAAAATAAATAGAAAATAAAGGAGAAATGTTACTTTGCATAAAGACAGAAAACTTTAAAACAAGAGATAAAGGGGCTGGCATGTGGCATGGTGGTTAAGGAAACTGGACTCCCACCTGGCTGACCACATTTCAAGTCCCAGATGTGGTGGCCTGCTTTTTCACTTTCCTTCTCACCCTCTAGATCTCATTCTGTCCCTCTTTGGTTGTATTTAAATAAATAAATGAATAAATAAATTAAAAATAAATAAAATAAATAAAGTTAAATAAGAGAATAATAAAAAAAGAGATAAAAAAGAAAAACAGAAGAAAAGAGCAAGACAAGAGAAGAGAAATGGCAAAGAAATGAGAACCTTGTTCTCTTTACAGGTAAGTTAGAGCTGGCTTTTGTGTAAACATCTTTGACCAAAAAAATAACTCTGACAAATTTTCCTCTAGGTTTAGCACATTGGGACTCCTTCTCACAATATTCTTTTTTTTTTTTTTTTGGAGAGGTTTTTGCCATAGGGCGCATGTGCTCGCCAGAAAGACAGAGAGAGACAGAGAGACAGAAAGTAAGAAACCACCCCCCAGGGGGGATGGCCACACTGCAATCCCTTCTCCTCCATTCTTCTCTTGGGATCTTGGGCATGCACACACAAGCACCTGACCTGAGTTTAAGCCACCTGGTCCGGGACTTGAACCACGGTCAACTACATGAGAGTCCAGCGACATAGCCATTACGCTAACTGCTGGTCCCTCACAACACTCTTTAGTCATAAATTTATACAAAAAGCACCTTTAATCTTCTCTTCAAACATTTTTAGAGAAAGAAAGGGGAATCTACAGTATTATAAAACCTTCTTGCACATTTGTCTTTATAAAGAAAAAGCAAAACTCAATGAAGGGGGTGCAAAATGAGTATTTTCCATATGCAGAGGCTCAAATGATGATGAACATCAAATAAAGTACCTATCAAACAAAACTGTACGGTTAACTAATCTTGAGACGCTATTATCATAATGAAGGGCTCAGTTAAAGAGGAGGATAGGCTGAGATTTTGTACTTAAAAATGTCACAGTAGAAGCAGAGGGGTTATTTGATAGATTCCAATTTAAAAGATGAAGGCAGGTATCAATCTAGAAAAGTTCGTCCTCTGATTTGTCTTCTTTTCCCTGTAAATAGTATCCAAATTAACCACATATTTTGGGGAGAGGATGGAGAAGTTGTTTGTTTGGAATCGGAAAAAAAAAAAATGTAGAATATAGTTCTTTCTAAAGTCTTTGCTAAGGATATCATACTTTTCTAATGGTTTTCTAATTTTTAAATTTATTTTATTCATTATTTTTTAAAAAATCTGCTACAGGCACAGGTGCCCATCAGAAAGAGCTGAGAGAGAGAGAGAGAGAGAGAGAGAGAGAGAGAGCACACTGCCAGGTCTGGGACTCAAACCATGTCAGCCATGTGGGAGTCCAGCTGCTTAACTATCACGCCACCTGTCATCCCTGACATACTGATTTAATTTCCTTGAGCTACATACTCAGAAGTGAAATTGCTTGATCATATGATAGTTCTATGTTTAATTTTTATGTTGAGAAATCCCCATCCCATTTTTCATGGAGGTTGTACAAAGAGGTCTACCCAGAAGCCAGCTCTGACTTACTTGTAGAGGAGAGCAAGGTTCCTTTCTTTTTTTTTCCTTGGCATTGTTCTTTTCTTTCCTTACTCTTTTCTTCTGTTTTTTTTTCTTTCCTTATCTCTCTTTTTATTGTTTGTTTTTCAATTTATGCAAAATTACATTTCTCCTTCATGACCTATGCATATTTCCATTGTATTAAAAAATTCTATTTCAGTTCTTTCTGATTCTACATTATTGTAAGAGAGCATAAGCCATTTAAAGCTTGACTCAGTCAGGATGCATCTTTTCTACCATGATTTGCAAACTTCTGTTTTTATCCTTGGAACACCAAATGGAAAATGTAAAATTCTAAAAGTCTCATAGCAATGAGAGCAGGAAATACTTGCACCATGACAATATAGACAGCGTACCTCTGTGTGAACTCTAGGGGGCGATGCACTGTGAGGATTGTCCCTGTAGTACAAGAGGAGCAGAAGTCTTTATCTTCACAGAGCTTAGAGAGCTGGATCAAGAATTTGCTGAGCAGAGAGAAAATACACATGTCAGGAAACAGCAGGCTCCGTGAGGAAAAGTCATTTCTAAAAGCTCTGTGCTGACACAGGGGTGCTGGTTCCTCTGTAAGAGTCTATTGCTTGGTTGGGGTTATTTCTTCAGCTGAAGTGGGCTTGAAAGGAGCCTCCAATCAAGCTCATCCATGGCCTCTAGATGCATCTGGATGATTGTGATTTCTTTCACATCACGTGAGTAATATCTGCTTTTTACTTTTTGATCTGCTTTTTACTTTTTGAGACTTCGGAAGTGTCACTGATGCACTGTGGCTTCACTTACAGGTGGACTGAGAGCTCAGTCTGTGAATCAGCCAGAAGATCAGGTGAATGTTGCAGAAGGGGATCCTCTGACTTTGAGATGTACTTATTCAGTTTCTAGGAGTCCTTATCTCTTTTGGTATGTCCAATATCCCAACCAAGGCCTCCAGTTTCTTCTAAAATACATCTCAGGGGACAGCCTGGTGAAAGGCAGCTACGGTTTTGAGGCTGAATTTAATAAGAGCCAAACCTCTTTCCACCTGAAGAAACCATCTGCTCTTTGGAGTGACTCTGCTCTGTACTTCTGTGCTGTGAGTGACACAGTAATGGAGGCTGCAGGGGAAGTTGAACAGAAAACCTGAGGATAGTCAAACACATTTCTCTGAAGTCTTTATGTCCCTCCACGAGAGAGTGTTGTGGTTTCAGGATGTGTACTTGTTATAATAAAATTGATAAATTAAAACAGCAGAATTTGCTCATTCAACAAGTCCTTATGTCCCAGGTACTGTGCACATAAGCACTCGTTAGAAGACATGACTCGAGTCAGCTCTGTGGCCTGGTAGTTATGGGAGTTGGATCTCACATGGCAATGCCATAGTTTGAGTTCAAAACCTGGCAGTTTGAGAAACACGCTGATTGTGTTGTGTCCGTATGTGTTCCAAATTTCAAGAGGATGTTTTAGTAGAACAGAAGGGATCATGGTGTGACCATTCCCTAGGAGTGGTGCCTTTTCCCTGTTCTTTTCTCTGTCTCTCTGGACAGTCTATATGTCCTCGGCAGGAAAAAAAAAAGTTACTTTACTGTAAGACTAGTAGAAGAAATCATAGAGAAAAGCTTTATGAAACTGATCTGGACAATGAATTCTTGGTAAGTCCTCAAAAGCAGAGGTAGTAAAAGTAAAAACATACAAATGAGATTACATAAAAGTAAAAGTTTCTGCAGTCAAAGAATAAATCAACAGAGTGAAGTGACAACCTACATAAAAGAGATAATATTTGGAAACCATACATCTGATAAAGGTTAAGATTCAACATAGATAAGGGACTCAAACAACTGAAGACTGACCTGGTAGCACCATGCTTAAGTGCTGTGCATTTGGATCTGGATCCCACGTGGCGGACTGTGATTCAAATCCCAGCGCTGGTGGCTTGAAAGACATGTGAGGCATGTGTGCATGGCTGCTCTAAATCCTGATGGGATGGAGAAGTGGAGGAAGAAGGATGGCAGTGTGACCACATCATATGGTGGTGCTTTCTCTCTTTCTCTTTCTTTAGCCAGTGTACATGGCCTTTAGAAAAAAAAAAAATCAACCAAATACCAAAAACAAAAAACAGAACCCCGCAAACCCCAAACCTCAAGCCAATAAACAAAAATCTGGTTAAAAAATGGATAAAAGATCTTAGAAGACATTTTTTGAAAAAAGACATACAAATGGTCAATAGGCATATAAAAAAATCCCCAACATCACTAGCCATAAAGGACATGCAAATTAAAACCACTATGAGATATCACTTCACATCTATTAAGATAGTTATAAACATAAAGACCAATGATAAATGTTGAGCCCGTGGAGAAAAAGGAACCCTTGCACATCATTGATGGAATAGTATAGACACCATGGAGAATGGTATGGAGATTTTTCAAAAAATTAATAATACTTTGAGGTGATGAGGATGTCAAGTGCCCTGATTTGATCATTATAGATTGTATTCATGTATCAAAAAATCATACCATACCCATAAATATGTACAATTATTATATGTCACTAAAAGTAATGTAAAAATTAAAAATAGAACTATCATATGATCAAACAATTTGACTTCTGGGTATGTATCTCAAGGAAATTAAATCAGAATGTCAGGGATGGCAAGTGGCGTGATGGTTAAGGCACTGGACCCTCACATGGCTGACATGGTTTGAGTCCCAGACCTGGCAGTGCGCGCACGCTCTCTCTCTCTCAACTCTCTCTCATGGGCACATGTGCCTGTAGCAGATTAAAATAATAATAATAATGATAAGTAAAATAAATTAAAAAATTAGAAAAACCATTAGAAAAGTATGATATCCTTAGCAAAGACTTTAGAAAGAACTATATTCTACATTTTTTTTTTTTCCGATTCCAAACAAACAACTTCTCCATCCTCTCCCCAAAATATGTGGTTAATTTGGATACTATTTACAGGGAAAAGAAGACAAATCAGAGGACGAACTTTTCTAGATTGATACTTGCCTTCATCTCTTAAATTGGAATCTATCAAATAACCCCTCTGCTTCTACTGTGACATTTTTAAGCACAAAATCTCAGCCTATCCTCCTCTTTAAATGAGCCCTTCATTATGATAATAGCGTCTCAAGATTAGTTAACCGTACAGTTTTGTTTGATAGGTACTTTATTTGATGTTCATCATCATTTGAGCCTCTGCATATGGAAAATACTCATTTTGCACCCCCTTCATTGAGTTTTGCTTTTTCTTTATAGTCTACCATTCAGTAAGACAAATGTGCAAGGAGGTATTTATAATACTGTAGATTCCCCTTTCTTTCTCTAAAAATGTTTGAAGAGGTTTAAGGTGCTTTTTGTATAAAAGTATGACTAAAGATTGTTGTGGGATGGGCTTCTAATATGCTGAGCCTAGAGGAAAACTTGTCAGAGACTTTTTTTTTTTGGTCAAAGATGTCTACACAGAAGTCTGGTCTATCTTACTTGTGAAGAGAAGAACAATATTCTCTCTCTCTTTTTTGCCATTTCTCTTCTTTTGACTTACTCTTTTTTTAGTATTAATTAATTTATTTATATTTTATTCATTTATTTACATTTAGTCATATCTTTACAGTGTACAACACTTCTTTTTCCAACACATAGGCCATGCATGTCGGTCAAGACAAAGATATTATTACATAAATTATCATCAGCAAATAGCCTCTCATTTTTTGTCTAATTAAGCATACTTTCTTTTTCTTTTTTATTATCTCTCATTCTTAAAATGATTAGTTTATTAAACTTTATTTATTTATTTATTTATTCATTTTAATTTGACCAAAGAGAGACGGAGTAAGAGGGGGAGAGAGAGAGAGAGAGGGAAAGTGAAAAAGCAAGCCACCAGGTCTGGGACTCAAACTGCGATCGGTCATGTGGGAGTCCAGTGACCTTAACTGACATGCCACCTGCCAACCCCTTTATCTCTCTTCTTAATGTTTTCTGTCTTTATGCAAAGTAACATTTCCCCTTTTTTCTATTTATTTCACCATCTTATTAAAAAATTCTATTTCACTTTTTTCTGACTCTACATTATCTTAAGAGAACATAAACCATTTAAAGTTTGACTCACTTGCGTACATTTTTTCTACCATGATTTGCAAACTTCTGTTTTTTTCCTGTTTGAACACCAACTGTGTTCCATATGGAAAGTGTAAAAATCCAGAGGTCTCCCAGTGATAACAACAGGAATACCTGCTACATGACTGAAAAATCAGCAAACCTCTTTGTGAACTCTAGGGGGCAATGCAGTGTGAGGTTTGTCCCTATACAAGAGGAGCAGAAGTTTTCATCCTCACAGATCTTATAAAAACTGAATTAAGAGTCTGCTTAGCAGAGAGAAGATACGTATATCAAGAAACAGCAGTTTCCCTGAGGAAAAGGCTTTTCTAAAAGCCCTGTGCTGACACAGGGGTGCTGGGTGCTCTCTAAGCATCTACTGCCTGGGGTGGGGCCGTCTCTCCCACTGAAGTGGTCTGGAAAGAAGCCCCCAATCAAGCTCATCCATGGCCGCTAGATGTATCTTGATTTTTGTGATTCTCTTCACATTGAGTGAGTAATATCTGCTTTTGACTTCACTTTTTGATCTTCTATTCTCTTCAGAAGTGTCACTGATGCACTGTGGCTTCATTTACAGGGGGACTGAGAGCTCAGTCAGTGAATCAGCCAGAAGATCAGGTGAATGTTGCAGAAGGGGATCCTCTGACTTTGAGATGTACTTATTCAGTTTCTAGGAGTCCTTATCTCTTTTGGTATGTCCAATATCCCAACCAAGGCCTCCAGTTTCTTCTAAAATACATCTCAGGGGACAGCCTGGTGAAAGGCAGCTACGGTTTTGAGGCTGAATTTAATAAGAGCCAAACTTCTTTCCACCTGAAGAAACCATCTGCCCTTTGGAGTGACTCTGCTCTGTACTTCTGTGCTGTGAGTGACACAGTAATGGAGGCTGCAGGGGAAGCTGAACAGAAAACCTGAGGATAGTCAAACCTCCACAAGAGGGTGGTGTGGTCTCAGGATGTGTCACTATGTATAGCAAAATGAAAAATTGGAAACAGCAGAATTTGCTCATTCAAGAAGTCCTTATGTGCCAGGCATTTTGCTAAGCAGCTGTTAGATGAGGCTACTTGGTTCAGTTCTGTGCCTGGTGGCTATAGGAGTTGGATTTTACATGCAATCCCGTGGTTTGAGTTCTACACCCATCAGGGTAGGAAACACACTGGATGTTTGTGCATGTGTGTTCCAAATTCCTACAGAATGGATTATAGGAGAAGTGATTGCATTGTGATCATTCCCAAGGAAGATCTTCTCTCTATAGAGTGTATAGGAGAAGTGATTGCATTGTGATCATTCCCCAGGAAGATCTTTTCTCTATAGAGTGTCTATAGCCTTTGGCAGGGAAAAAAAAAAAGACTTTACTTAAAAATGGACTTTACTTTAATACTACTAGAAGAAAACATAGAGGAAAGCTCTATGAAATTGAATGGGGAGTGAGTTTTGGATATGTACCCAAAAGCACAGGTAGTAAAAGCAAAAACAGACAAATGAGATTATATCAAAGTAAAAATTTTCTGCACATACAAAGAAAACGATGTGAAGAAACAACCCACAGAAATGAGAATAAATGTTTGGAAACCATACATCTCTTAAGGGGTTACTAGTCAACATATATAGGGAACACGAACAACTAAAGACTGACCTGGTAGCACTGTGAGTAAGTGCTATGCTTCTGGACCTGGATCCCACATGACTGGCTATGATTCAAATCCCAGCCCTGGTGACTTGAAAAACATGTGAGGCACTTGTGCATGCATTTTCCAAGTCTTTATGGGATGGAGAAATGTAGAAAAAAGATTGTGGTGTAACTACGTTCCATGGAGGTGCTCTCTCTCTCTCTCTTTTCTCTGGCCTCTATCTCTCTCTCCTTTCTCTGGCCAGTTCATATACCCTCTGGAAAATTAAAAAACAACAACAAAAATAATCCACTAAATATTAAAAACAAACAAAACCCCAAAAATCCAGAAGCCCAAACTAGTAAAGAAAAGCCTGGTTAAAAAATGGGGAAAAGGCCTTAAAAGATATTTTAAAAAAATAATTTTTATTTAACTATTAAT